GTATAACAAAAAATCCCCCCCCCCCCAACTTAGCTAACCTATAAGAGGCTAAAACGTTCCTACCGACCACCTATAACGTGTTTCAAAGTGCGGAATGAAATAGTACCTATCACCACTACCCGGGTGATCCCTTACTTGTTCTTACTTGTCCTTACTTGTCCACTGTGTTGGGGTCACTGCAGTCGGAACATGTCCATCTCTGCTCTCCCCCTCCCCCCTCTTCGGGATCCACCCCAGAGTGTGTCTACTTATAGTTTCCATCATGATCTGGTTGGAGATCCGTCGGACTGGTCCGCACAGATGGCTGTGTTTCCCCTCTCCCCTCTGGATCCCCTTCTCCTTCAGTCGGGGTGGGGGGGGGGGATAGGGTGTTAAACTGAACAGTGCCATAAAAATTCACTTCTTATTTCATTTAAAAGAACGATTGAAATCAATAAAAAGTACATACGGTGATAATTTTCTGTAAATATCCGTTTTCTCATGCCTGATCAAAATGAAAAAAAAAACACGTTTTTTTGTGTGCTACTTTTTTCGTTTCTTTTTTTTTAATGTGCATTTAGTTGTACTACTGCACTCGAAATAAATGCGAGAGTTTCAAAGAGGATAATTCTGTCCTTGAGTCAAAGTGTAAAAAATGAACGCAGTATGATTGTACACGTATCAAGAAAAGACAGGCAAAAGTAAACTTTAGCCCCCCCCCCCCCCCCCCCCCCCCCTACTACTTCACTCATCTATGCTGGGCCTCCACTCTCAGCGGGGCGACGACGTCCGTGTGGGTTTCCGGGACGTCATGCGACAAATATACTTTAATTTATGTCTTTTAAAAATAGTTTTAGTAGAGGTTTTACGGCGCTCGCAACTGCATAAGGTCATATGAGCACCAGAAGATTAGAGTAAGGTGTTACAAGAGAGTAACAAACTTTAAAAAAGAAGAAGGGGAGATAGATAAGGACGATAGATTATGTTTCATAGGAAAGAAGAAGCAAACCACAAAAGGGCACTCGCCAACCACCAGCTTAATTTGTTTAGTGAATGGAAGAAAACTCCGCCGTTGAAACCAATCATTTGACATATCTAATTCATTGTAATGTTTAAAAATTATGTCTCTTGGGAATAAACATTCACGCTGCAGCTCCCCGTCTCAGCCGCTTCTTAAGTAAAAAAAAGCCAAAACAAATTGTGTCTATGAAAAACAAATAAAAAAAACATTAATCAAACCGCTTAGTTCATTTCCTACAGTTTAGCTTAGACGAAGGTTTTCTGACGTACTGTCACACGTGAAGGTCTATTAGTTA